GTATGTATGCATGCATATGTATGCATGTATGCATGTATGTATGCATGTATGTATGCATGTATGCATACCTGTGTTACCAGTTTCTTGGTGGAAAGACATCAGGTCCAACATCAGCATCAGCTACTCTTCAGCTTGTTGACTCAACCTGAATATAAAATATAAAACACCTACAAATGGCAGAACTGTTCTATTCTGTCCTGCTTATGTTGCATTAATTCTGCCCCAAAGCTGGAAAAAAGTTTAATAAGTGCTGGCTGCACTGAATACATACATGYATTTATAAATAAATGTATTAATATTTATTAGCCCAGTGAAAGGATCGGGGATTCCATCCCTAGATACTGCAGTGTGCTGAAATATCCTTGGGCAAGACACTGTCTCCCCTCCTACCCTCACTGTCCCCAATATGATTTATCATGAAATGAGTTGAAGTATAAAGCCTTGGATTGATCAAGTGTAAAATATAAAAAGCTGAATGAGTGTGTGTCAGTCAAATTATGTTTTAACACTGATATCGGTATCAGCCCAGAATTATACCACTGATGTGCCTATTTTTGGTCTTGTATACTAAAACATATTTCTCAAGATTTTTTCCATTATAAAAAACATTTTTAGCTGTTGCCCTCTGGAAAAAAAACTATTATTTCTACTACTAATATAATAATAATAATAATTTAGTCATTAAAAACAGCCTCTTTGCTTCACGCTGTGCACAAATGATTGCTTTATCAACAGTAGCTTTCTACACATGAAAGGCATTACCCAATTTCTGCTTTCATTATACAAATTGTAGACAATAAATTGCTTCTTTTTCCATTTTATTTTAAAGTCTAAAAAGCTGGTGCTCTTTGAATTTTATTTTTTTACTATTTTGAAGCAGTAGATCAAACGCAACGCCAACGGTTTGTCAGCAACGTTAAAAAGTTAAATGAAACAAAAGAAATTGATTAAATTAAACCCTAAATATTCATTAAATCTAATGAAAGTTGAAGATGGCTCGAAATCGAATGAACCTAAATCACACGTTCGCAAACATCGGATTGGTTTTTAATTTGATCTGATTATAGTTTGATTTCTTTCTTACAGTCTAGTTTTTCCCTCGCTGATCGTGTGAAGAAAAGCTGAAATGAATTTTGTTTTGAGGTTTTGTAATGGGTGTAATCTCTTCGYACCGCTTCTCCTGGGAGGAAAAAAAATGCATGATTTGATCATCTCTGAGAGTAATATTTATGGCCAATCAGCTGCTGTGTAAAGAAACATTTCCTCTTCCTGTGTGTGTTTATGTGTGTGTGTTTGTTCTCCTCCCACAGTTCAAACCCTCGTGAGTCTGAGCGCTTCAAGTGCACGTAGGTGTGAACTAAGAATGACTCGTTTCTTAGTCATTTTTAGATTTGAAACGAGCTGGCAGCTTGTCCGGGGTGTTTCCCGCCTTGTGCCCTGTGCATTCTGGGATGTGTTCCAGCCTGTCGTTCAGCTGTATTTACCCACCAGGAAAACGATCATCTGCGGAGTCACTTTTAGCGTGCACGCTCATTCATTTGATTAGATTGGTGGGAAGCATGTCATTTGTGAATTTTCAGTCCTGAAAAGATCCCGCGTGGCTAAAAAAAAAAAAAAAAGCCTTTTCATTTCGCTTTTATGTAGATGCGGTTTTTAATTTGTATATTTGTGATGAAAACACAGGGAAACATCAAGAAAGCGAGCGCAGAACAATAAAACAACGACACGACTTTCTGTGAAGTACAGGAAAGTACTAGTTTTTATTCCTTCATAATCAAACTTCACAAACAGCTTGAACTTGTACAATACCTCAGAGAGTGAAAATTACAAAAAAAGTGCTGGTAACATTTACAAAAAAATCATCCTTACTTAGCAACAATCAGTTTATTCTTCCACACTTTTTTTAGTCTTTTGTATTAAGGCTTAATACTTCTTTATAAAGTATATGCAAGATAAGTCTTCACAGTTTTTCGAAAAAAGTCACAATATTATGTAACATAATGAAGCTTTTACGGCTATTTTCTTTATAATAACAAATACACATCACTGGTAAATATATGTGAAATACAGGGCTTATTGTAAAATGGCAAGTAATGATACTGTTTGCTGAGATAAATTGATTCCACACACTGTTACAGGAAAAAAAGGGTTTTCTGACATACGGTTGGTATAACTGAAGGAGGGAGGAAACGAGAATGGTAAATAAAC